AGTTGACGAAAGGAAACCCAGGTCACAGAGTTCAGGCAAAATACCCGATGTTTTATTGTTGTAAGGACTTATGAAGTACACTTTACAATCTACTACCTAATTCATCAGACTTGACGGTAGAAACTGGCAGCCAACTTCCTTCATTTCTGATGGTTTGAAGTTAAAAATACTACGAACATACTGCATACATACATTGAACATCAAGTCCAGACAACAATGATGTGGTGTGATGTAGGTTGACTTTTTTTCAACATTTTCTTCTCTCTCTCTCTCTCTCTCTCTCTCTCTCTCTCTCTCTCTCTCTCTCTCTCTCTCTCTCTCTCTCTCTCTCTCTCTCTCTCTCCCGCCCACTCACACTCACCCCTCCCTTTCATGCATACCCTGACTCGTTCTCGCTGTCACTCTTTCTCACTTGGCCGTTCTCATGTTCTTTTTATTCTCTCGCTCCTTCCCTCCCTCCCTCTTTCTTGAATTAATTTTGCTTTTCTCTCTCTCCCTCCCACTCTCATTATCACTCACTTTCTCTCTTTCACGCATGCTCTTAGTCGTTTTCGTAGTTACTCTTTCTCACTTGGTCGCTCTCGCATTATTTTGATTATCGCCCTCTTATTATCTCTCTCTCTCTCTTTCACTCACACTCCCACTCGTTCTCGTTCTCTCTCTTTCTCACTTGGTTGTTCTTGCCTTATCTTTGCTTCTCTCTCTCTCTCTCTCTCTATCACGTGCACACTCTCTTTCTCTTTCTCCCTTTTTCTCTCGCCTTTTCTCTCTCTCTCTCTCTTTCACTCTCACTCTTTCTCCCTCTCTCTCTCTCCCCCTCATTATTCATCCTTCTTTCTCATTCTTTCTCTCAGCTTATTTAAATTTCTTCTTCTTCGTTCTTTCTGTTTCTCTCTCTCTCCTTCACTATTTCTCTCTCTACCTCCCTCCTCTGTTACCATCTCTTACTTTTCTCCCTTTCTTTTTCCTTTCTTTTCCATACAATCACTTGTTCTCCTTCTTTCTCTAACTATTGTTTCCTCTCTATCGCTATCCCCTTTTTTTTTTAATTTCTTTGTGTTATCAGCTTGCATCTTTATTTTCCTAACACGCCCATCTTTAAATCGTAGTAACTCTGGTTCATATTGACTTCTTTCTTCTCGCCTTTTTTCAATTTCTCTTCTTTTTTCATTTTCTGAATTTCTTATGTTATGGCATGAATCTTGGTATTCCATTGTACTTTTCTCTCTCTCTTTCTCTCTTTCGCTCTCACTCTTTCTCCCTCTCTCTCTCTCTCTCTCTCTCTCTCTTCTCTCTCTTTCGCTCTCACTCTTTCTCCCTCTCTCTCTCTCTCTCTCTCTCTCTCTCTCTCTCTCTCTCTCTCTTTCTCGCATGATTTCTTCTTGCTTTATCTCTCACTCATTCCTTTTCTCTCCCTCTCTCTCCTTTTTATCTTTTTTACTTTTATTTTTCCATAAATAAGATGTATAAAAAATACCGAATATCATCCTGCATTTTCCACGCCCAGTCACCGGAAGAATCAGCACCCTTCCATCGACAATATAATCGCCGACGACGACGACTTTCGGCGAGTCCACATCAAAATAGATCGTCTCCCAGTCCGTTCTGAAAAATAATAGTAACCATAAAAAAATGCGATAATATATAAAAATAAACGATATTGCTTGCTCCCTTCAAAAACGCTTTTCTGTCTGGCCAATCTGCCAAACCAATTAATCGACTTACTTAAAGTCTTTTACAATAATGTTTCTAAGTCCCATTAGATCCGATTCGATCAATTCGAGTTTTATGGACACGGGACCTTTCAGACCGTCGCCGATCGTCACATGCTTCAATCTCCATGGATCCATAGGCAGCACGCCAAGCGACGGTGCACCTACAACAGCAGTTCGGATTAAATCGCTTTTTTCTCAGAGACTTCATTTTTTAGAATATAGTAAGATAAGACTAAAACATAAAATATTATTGTGAAGATAGAAAGAGATAAAAAAATTATGTTTACTGATTTTCATTTTATTACTTATGATATTTTAAGGATATTACTCCAAATTCTTTATTATATACTTTCATCATCTATATTTACATTATTTTAATAATCTAAATAGCATAATTTTATGTAGTAGGTTTTTCTTGAAGAACAAGAATTCAAAAAGTACAAGAAAATTTATCTTAGGTTTACCATTGCTTAAGTCCTTAATGGCAATTTGAAGTGCATTTCTGAGACAATCATTCTTGTCTTTTGCGTTCTTGCAGGTCTGCCAATTGTTTGCTGTAAAAAATAAAATATTTTAATATAAAGGGTTTAATGGTATTGATAATAAAATAATTGTACATTTTCTAGATATATAAGAACAGCCGAGCTGGTAAATTTTTGATATATCGAAAAAGAGGTGTTCGACTAATTTTGTTTTAATTAAAATTCACTGATAATGTTCAAGGTTAAAAGAAGTCTGCCTCTTTCCGACCTTGAATATCATGGCTAATTAAGTAATACTTTAATATTAATTAATAGTGTGGTGATTAGTGACCGTTATTCGATATTTATTTAGAAATCGTGAGATGCGATCTGGTGTGATGTAGGTTTCAGAAAAACATTTTCTTTATCGTGCCAACGTTTCGATCTTTATTGAGATCATCTTCAGGGCCTGGGATTTACAAACATTGTTTACATTTAACAAACACATTTAGGATGTGGAAAAGTGAATTTATACAATGCGAAATATATTTTTTATATTCAATCAAAGTACTTCTACTCACTCAAAGTGTTTGTTTTCTGTGTAATTGTGTCATTCTTGCGTGTCGTGTTGAGAGTGCCAAAATAAAACAGCAATAACTCACTGGCACTCAAATCCCAAGCCCTGAAGATGGTCTCAATAAAGATCGAAACGTTGGCACGATAAAGAAAATGGTTTTCTAACACCTACGTCACACCAGACCGCATCTCACGATCTCCGAATGATCAGTCATTATTTCAATTAATTTTTTATGCAAAGTATACCATAATTTGCTTAAAATAATACATCAATTAGAAAGGATAATACGGTTATAATTAACAAATAATGATAGGCAATATTTTATTTATAATTATTACTAGATAATACCAATTAATATATAAAACTCTGTTTTTACAATTTTACAATTACAATTTTGAGTTTGTTATATTTAACATTATATTTTGATAAATTAATTTACAAACCATGCCTAATTTTGAGCATAGTAAATATAATTAAATAACAACAAAAGATAATTAAAATCAATCAAACATTAGGCAAAAATTATAGTGCACAAAGAAAATCAAACTAAACTATTTTTTTAACTTCACAAATACAGGATAAACTTTAAATTGTTTAAATTTAACAAATACATGTAGGATGTGTTTTGTAAATCCCAGGCCCTGAAGATGATCTCAATAAAGCTCGACACGATAAAGAAAATGTTTTTCTGAAAGCTACATCACACCAGACCGCATCTCACGATTTGTAAATAAATATTAATTAATAGTAATAATGAATCTGCAGTGAATAGTCAGCTCTAATTCTAATTTTAACATGCCCAAGTTTTAAATACTGATCATCAAAAAACCGACCACCTGGTTTATTAACAAAAAAAATGACCAATTTTGGAAATGCATGTTTTCTCAGCCCTTTTAAGTCCCAGGAGTGAGCTAGATCTCATTTTTAGAAAATTGTATGCCGAACAAGATAGATTTTTTTAAATGTTTTTGTAGTTTCAGTGATTAGTTCAACAATTCGGGAATATGTTAATTTTTGCACTTTTTACGAAAACCTCAAATTGAGCCGGAAATCCTCCTGGAGCGGCGCCCTATAGGAATCGATAGAAAATTTCAATAAGTTTTCGATTCCTTCCAGTTTGCCTGATTTCTCGACCGTTTTCGAGTTAATCGCGATTTTTGGGATAAAACGTGGTTTTTACATGGATTTGGGATGCGGAATGCTTCTGCTGTCGATAAGCACTTATTTACCTCATCATGGAAATTCAACTTTTCTTTCCAATTTCACAGGTGTTGTGTGGGAGTTTGGCTTCGAATAACGTATTGAAACAATAGGTTTATATATTGTAATACCGGGAGAGATAGATAGATAGAGAGTAAGAAGAGGAAGAGAGAAAGAGAGAGAGAGAGAGAGAAAGAGAGAGAAAGAGAGAGAGAGAGAGAGAGAGAGAGAGAGAGAGAGATAGAGGGATCGGTTTTTTCCATGAGTACGTAAAAAACCCTTCTTTGCCCAAAAATCGCGAATGGGGTAAAGTGTATTGTAACCAATTGAAAACTTATTGGAATTTCATATGGATTGCTAAAGGGATTGCTCAGGACGATTTTTTTAGCTCCACTGCTTAATTTGAAACTTTCATAAAAAGTGCAAAAAATGACATGTTCCAAAAATTTTGAACTTACTGTTGAATGACTAAAGCATTTAAAAAAATCATCTTGTTAAGCGTAAAATTTTCTAAAAAAGCCTGAGAAAATAAGCATTTCCAAATTTGGCCAGTGGTTGGTTTTTCTGATGGGCGGTGTAGTCACGCCGTTAGTTTCAACATCACATCATCTGTCCTGGAACCCATCGAACCGAGGACTGGTGAAAATTCACCATCACGGGGAATTGTAAGCCATCGCGCACAATAAAATAATAATAACAATTATAAAAACATTCCATTCTTAAAATCTACCAGTTTACGAAAAAACAAATAAATCGTAAAGAGATTTTTTCTTTTATTTATAGATTTTTATGTTGTGCTAGTAAAATTTTATTTTTCGGCACCTGGAGAAAGTCTAGGCGGCTGGAATAAATTTAGAACGGCCATTAGTAAATCGCAAAATTAAATAGAGCCTCAGCCAGAGGATATTGTCCTAACGAATTTAATTTATATTAATTTAAACTTATTTAAAAATCAACAGATTTTATTTTTCTCAAATAACGAAGCTAACCGTATCTTTCATTGTCTCTGTATAAACATTATTTATTTATATATGTATGTTTACTTATTTAGAAAGCATAAAAACAATTGATCATTGATCTCAAAGACAAAAAGATATACATACTTTTCTTCAATTATGTTTAATTTCTTAATTTAATTTTTCTATGAAATACTTGTTAATTTGTTCGTAAAATAATATTCGCGATGAATTTTTCATACAAGAAAAGCTTTTGACAAAATAGAAATACGTCTACATTGAAGAATTTGCATATTGGCTAATAAATTTACGACTTATTAATAATAATTAAATTTTTCTCCGGGTAAACACTTACGAATTTTAGCCGCAGCGAGAACTGCAAGGCAGAGAAGGAGCAGATAGAAGCGGAAGGACATCTTAAATTCTGGTCCTGGTGTTCTTTCCATCATTTATATACCTTTTCAAAGTCGTTAATCGTTCACCCCCTCTTTGACTTTTAAGACAGATTTTTTCCACATATCTTTCAATCCAATAGTTGGTTCCCTTTTGCATAATATTTTGTTTATTTTAAATGAATACTGTTTATTTAAATGAATGACAAACATGATGAATATTTTTACTATTTTTCACCTCAACAGCAGATAATTGCAAGCAATTGAGTAGATCAAACAATTTTCCGTGCCGTGGGGCTTGCACTATAAATTGCAAGCCTTTTTAGATTCATTTTTGCTCAAAAATTAAATTAAATTTTATACAGAACACAAATCACTGTTTGGTAAATGTTAAAACGTTGTTGTAAATGTTCAACCAGAAATTCATTTATATGTTACTTAGTACGTTTTATATTATAAAAACTAAAACTAATAAAATTACTGTTATTTCTGAACATTTTTGCAGATTAATTAATCCATATTATTCAAAAACTGGACGTTTATTACTCAGTATTTACACGGATTTTTCTAATGATATTTTAGCATTAATCAAGCGAGGAAATATGGGTCTTTTGTAAAATTCAAAATTGAAAGTTTAATTCACACCAAGTAAGATCGGCCATTATTTAGCTATTATTCTAACATTTCGTAATGGAATTATTAAATAGAGTCTAATTGAAGGTAAAAGTGCAATCTGTCCTTAGATTTAAAATAATAAATAATGCTTAGATAGATATACAAATAATTAAATATAACTTCTACAGCCAAATATAAATCAATACATACAAAGATAGACGAAAAGATAGTTCAATGTTTAGATGGTAAAGCCAGTGACAATTGACAAAAATGGTTTGACAGCTATTTTTTAAAACAAATATTAACGAGAAGAAATAAATGAGAGAGAGAGAGAGAGAGAGAGAGAGAGGGAGAAAGAGTGGAGATGTATAAATGATTTATTTTTTCTCAGATTTAGTTCATTTTGACCTATCGAGTTCAATTATCAAAATACAATTATTAAACATAGACTTTCGCCTATTTTTTCAAAGGTTAATTATCCAAATTTTCACTATAATGCAGTGTAGAATAGAAAAGAAAATACATTTTTTATTTACAAAATTTAAGTTTACACTAATGGATTTTATTTACATGTAAAGTACATTCGACAGTTTACAACCGTCTTTCGAGTCGTTAACCAGTTCGAAGTCGTCGAATGTACTGTACTATATTCTGCAAGTGCCTTTAATCAGTTTTGTAGGGATAAAAATAAAGATAGTTTGTATAAAATAAGTTTTCTTATGTGATGATGCATTGTATTTTACGGTGTAATCATATTATCGGATAATCGTTGATTTTCAACTGGCTTAATTTTCTTTTTTTTTGTAATTTTACCGAGGGTATTTCAACACTTGTTTATATGAATCCTCGCGTTATGTATTAGTATAAGTATAGTAATATAAATATACCAAGAGAGATATATAAATATATAGAGAGATTGAAATATAAAATGATAGAACAATGGAAGAATAAAATGATAGAATTTTAGAAGAATAAAAAGGTAGAAGAAAAGAAGGATATAAGGATAGAAGGATGGAAGGATAGAAGGAGAGAAGAACATAAAGATAGAAGAATAAAAGGATAGAAGGATAAAAGGATAGAAGGATGGAAGGATAGAAGGATGGAAGGATAGAAGGAGAGAAGAACATAAAGATAAAAGAATAAAAGGATAGAAGGATAAAAGGATAGAAGGATGGATAGATAGATTGATAAATATATAGAAAGGGAAGGTCTTAGCCAACAGAAAGTTGGAAGGCTAGAAATATATAAGGATAGATAGATAGAGAGAGTGAGAGAGGAGGAAGGTCTTAGCCAACAGAAGAATAGAAGGATAGAAGTATAGAAAGATAGAAGGATAGAAGGACAAAAATATAGAAAGAAAGAAAGATAGATTGATAGATTGATATATATATATACAGGGTGAATTGCTACTCGTGCTACAAACTTCTCCAGTAGATTCTTCACCCTAAAATGAACAAAAAAGTTCATATTGTCCATGGTCCGATTCTCAACCATTTCAGAGTAATTTCGCTTTTTATCGATTTTGAAAGATATCACGTCCTGGCGTCGGAAAATCGTGATATCTTTTAATCTAAACATTTCTCT